AATTGGCAACGAAGTCTTTGGGGATCATTCTTGTACTGCGCATTTTACTGCGGTCACGCTCTTCCATGTCATCTGTGTCGTCCACGTTCAAATCAACTACAGGACCTTCATTCAAGCCGGGTATCTCCACATTTGCGGTTAACTCATCTGGGCTGATTACAAACGCTTTATCATCGACGGATGGATCTAAGATTCCATGGACAGCGTCTGCAAGCGACTTGAGAACATCCGCGCTGTTATTTAGCTGTTCTACGAGTTCTGAATCGCCGACTGCATGAGCCAGTCCGGCAACTTGCATGAGTGGATCGCCTCCCAGACTACCCACAGAATCTTTGAGCACATCACCTGGACGATTACGGGTCCAGAATTTACTACAGGGCAATGCAATGAAGAAAAAAGTATTATTGGTGGCGTCTACTTCAAACATTTGTGATTTTACTGCGGTCACGCTCTTCCATGTCATCTGTGTCGTCCACGTTCAAATCAACTACAGGACCTTCATTCAAGCCGGGTATCTCCACATTTGCGGTTAACTCATCTGGGCTGATTACAAACGCTTTATCATCGACGGATGGATCTAAGATTCCATGGACAGCGTCTGCAAGCGACTTGAGAACATCCGCGCTGTTATTTAGCTGTTCTACGAGTTCTGAATCGCCGACTGCATGAGCCAGTCCGGCAACTTGCATGAGTGGATCGCCTCCCAGACTACCCACAGAATCTTTGAGCACATCACCTGGACGATTACGGGTCCAGAATTTACTACAGGGCAATGCAATGAAGAAAAAAGTATTATTGGTGGCGTCTACTTCAAACATTTGTGAAAATGAGCACAAACTAATAGGTAATACGCGCGGGTCAGTAAAGAACTAAAGTGACAAAAACATGATCGGGAGCACCAGTAATGGGTTTCAAGAACAGATCAGAAGGCTGTCACCGTTGAACTAAATTGCATTTATCACATCAAAGTCCCGGATTGGACTATTGGACTTTCGTGCAATATCAAGCTTAGATCATGCGTGTACTTACTAACGACCATGTTCTGCCACTGTCAGTTTACTGGTAATTATATGTCCAAATACAATTACTTTTTAACACATCGGGACCAAACGATGTTAGGAGTCTATCGAAAAATCGATGTGCCATGTGTTGTTTTATGGCGAATGTTATAGTGTTCATATAATTCCTTACCGATATCTCTGTTATTCGCACTATAACATTCAAAATAATTACTTTTGTTTTTCTGCTATGTAGTTCACAATAAGACAGCGGTCAATGTCACAGCATGCAAGTGTTAGGTTATTTGAAGCATCCTATTCTTTTTGTCCACTTCATTAAAAAACGAAGACAAGTGGGCCCAACTGACATTGGCTGTCAATTCCACGTGCTTTCATTCAATTGTAAACGCACATTTATATGATCATGTCAAACGAAGAAATATGAAAGTTAAAATGAGTCATTTGAACCAGGGAGTTGGGTGCTTTGGGTTTGGTTAGGGATGAAGATTAAGTTAGATGAAAAAATTTGATAGGAAAGTGGTGGTAAAGGAAAGGTCATGTCACAATCTGTGGTAAGAGTGGCGTCAGGTGTGGTATCATTACGACCACGGCAACAACTGTTGCGTCACAAATGTTTTGAACACAGTATGGTTTCAAGTGACGAAACTTTATCGCCTCATAAGAGTCGTAAAGTTTATGAACGCTGGGGTCTCGTAATGGCTCGAAACGTTTTTNTTTTTGATGCGCCTACATTGCGACCGGAGTCTAACAAATGGTGTGCAAATGCGGTGGATGAGAGTACGCCTCCGCGAAGAACAAGGTGTTTCAGGGCATGTTCACACATTTTGGCTGTCCGTTGAATGTACCTCTGACCACAGGTACACTGAAATTAATAGACACAATTGGAGGTAACATTAGTTTCAGTGTGAACAACCATTAACTATGCACTTTTGTGCGCCGGTTTTGGTTGCTGTCTTTTGGCTGCCCATTTGGATGAATAATAGGGGAAGACAGGAAAGTTGAAGGTAGAGTCGAACAGAAAATGGAGAAGTTCAGTGGTCTACGCTTTCAAAGAAAGTAAGCAGATGTAAGGACGCCACTGTTTACGACACCCAGCCATATCATTCAGTGTCTCTAACCATCGAGTACGATCATCCCCAGGTCCCTAGCCAACGAGACCCATGTGACCCGGATTCCTGGTCAGGGTTTTCATACCCTCGTGCCAGGTCTTAGCTTGGTAACATTAACATCTTGATCCATATTAGTGCAAGTGACACAACAAAATACCCCGTAAAGAATCATTGGTCTAACGGCATTGTACTTTTTCCACAGTAAGTGTTAAACGACGATAGATCTTAATAATCACATTATCCATTTCGAAAGGTAGGTCGATTTAGACGTGTTTCGTCCTAGTGATTAGATTAACGGGTATGGGATTAATCGGATCTCTGTAATTGTGAAAACGTCAGATTACTCGTGGCCATAAAGTATGGGTTCATTCATCTAGTCCATCTGGCGGGACTTGCGGGCTACATAATGGGTGAACCCTATGAAGGGGTACACACTAGACCAAGCTTGTATCCTACTGGGCAGAAGTGCAGATACTGCCCTGTCCTTGTGTGCTTTTGATACGTAAATACCAGAGGTTTCCCGCCGTAACTCAAGAAATGGAAGTTTTCATTCGAATTCACGTTCTAATGTCATTATGACATTGTAATTGCAATTATAACTTTTGTAGGCGTGAGGTCTGTATTTCATTTCATTGGAAAGAGGGAGGAAAAGAAAAGTTAAATCCCAAAATTTTAATGACTTCAACTGGTAAAATAATTTCTTAATAATTGCTTCGTTGAGTGTAATAACTAATGTACCCCGATCGTACCGTTGATATAGTAAGGTTGAATATAGTTTGTCTTAAGGCTTATTTCCTAGTGTTGACCGGAAGACATCGGTCAGAATGGGCTACGCATAGCCACCAGTACACCAGTAAACTGTTAATAGATAACTCAGCAAGAGTTTCAAATCACTCGTAAGAAAACCTATTTTACTGGCATATTTACAAACTTCGTTCATGACTTCCTTGACGGGGACATTTGTGAACAATGACGTAGTATCATAGAAGGCATAAAAAGTGCGGTAATTAACGTCTGGCATTACTTACATTAACTGAAATGTATCCTTCAGTCGGCACTTAGACAGTTTGATACTCACAAGATGGTTGTACAAACTTAAATTGAAACCGTCAGGTATTATTAAAGGTTTGTCAGCCTTTGATCAAAATGCGGTTTCAAATCTATACGCTGATAAATTTCCGAAACCAAGGGAACTTTCAATGTCTAATGTAAACTACTGCGGCTTAGCAACATAAAACCTTAGATAATTGAAAATCTATTTACCACGCTCAAACGAGAAGGGAATATGATCACATTCAAAGTTAAATCGGTAGTGGGAAATGGTACAATCAAAATTGGCATTTCAAACGTGGAGGAACCGACTCGTAAAAGATCAGATAATGTAATGAAGAAAGGGTTGGTGACCTGCGCGCAGTTCATTTTGCACGCAATACATGGCACGTGCGTTCGCAAATGAATACCACTCCGCACACTCTTTCCATCTTATAACTGAGTTCAGCAGCACCAAATGGTTGATTTTTCAAGCTAAATTCTAATCTTTCTGGACCTCTTGCAAGGACATCCCTTGCTGTGCGTAATTAAGCGACCTACAGAAGCATGATCATAGCCAAAGTTATGCGCTTCTACCATCGTATATTTTGTTATTTTGTGAGATAAAATAATGCAGATAGTCCACCTTCGGACCTGATTAACCGGCTATCACTGACGACATTTGAGAAAACTTTGAATTGGTAATTCTGGTCAGGCCTGGAGTGAGTTGCTTGGCACAGTGATAATACATATGCCCTTCTATGCTATGAGTTCGGAGTCCAAAGCCCGGATGAGAAGATGGACATGCACTACCGATGAGCTCTACTGAGACCGAAAGTCCAGTCTAGTGGTTTCGAAGTGTAGGGAAATCTTGTGAGAGAACGACCAGAATAGGGATACCAAGATGGAAAATAACGCCCCAAAAAATATTCCTCTTTGGGTTGAAATGAACGAGCACAGATCAATAACCGACCCATCTTTCAAGAATCAACTGTGCAGAGTTGTAGAACATATTGTAACGAGAAGGCGAGCTGGCTGGGAAGACGTCTATTGATCCAATTCAAAAACAAACAGTGTCTACGTTCGATTATATACAGTCAATTCCGAACCGCGCGGCGGGATGACTCATGCCTCTTTCTGTGGATCATTCGTTGTTGGTCTTGGTCCGCACTTGGCACGTACGTTGCCTCTTCTTCCGCGTGCCATTCCGACTGGTTTGACCCGATCGCGGCGCGAGATGCGTTGATCGACAGCTCCGACGTTGTGGCATTCGGTGGGTATCTTTCCCGTTAGCTGCGGATTGTCTTTCGGGCTGTAATTGTCGATTCCCTCGTTTCGGGTGGCAGTCAACATTGTCTCGCGAGGCACTTCCCGCCACTGCGTCTGTGCGTCTGGTCGGATGGGCCCCATTCTTGCTTCGGTCGCTAGCCAGGACTCTCTTTGAACTGCCTTCCATCACAATATAAGGAACACTTTATGAGACGGATGTTTCAATGCCTTTTTTCCATAACTGGATTAAACGAGAAAAGCACTACATTTAATCTAGTCCTCGGCATATAAGGAGAGTCACCCGCGGCGATTTGGAGTTTAGTTTTCTCACTCTACAGTTTTTCATCCACTGTAATATAGAAAGAACACTTGCACTGTTTTTACCGAAAAAAAGAAACGTACGTAGCAAAATCGTTTGCTCCAGAAACCAAAATGTGACCAAACGGATGCCAAGCCAAACTCCAAATCATACTCTCGTGGGCGTGTTCCACTGCGCCAAGTTCAGTATCCGTCCTAAAAAGCAACATTTGTGGCAGACAGCTGAATAACAGGCGGCAAAGATTATGAAATTAGGCTATAAATATGACTAGCATGGTGCAAACGCAAAAACAATGATAATGATAGTCGAGGGGGTACCGAAAGATTGAACGAAAATGCGGAAAACGGAGAACAGGGGAAATGAATGAATACTTTTTGACAGTGCCAACGTACATCATCATCATCATCATCGTCGTCGTACAGCGAAATACAGTGAAGCGAACTTCACTAAACGCTGCCAAAATCGCAAGGCACACAACGTTAGTGGTAAAATTTAGGGTGGACAGGAATTGGATCTATTTTGA